TGGTTGTTCACATTCGAGGCAAGGCTGATGTAATGGATCCTCAAGGCTTGTCCAACTGCTTGTGGGCATCAGCACGTTTGAAGGATGTCGCTCCTGACGTGCTGAAAGTCGTGCCGGCAATCGTTGTTCATTTTCCAAGCAAAGCTGGTGGCATGATTCCTCAAGCATTGTTCAACTGCTTATGGGCAACAGCACATTTGAAGTATGTCACCCCTGATGTGCTGAAGATAGTGCCGGTGCTGAGCCCCCAGATCCTTCGCAAATGTGGCCAGTTGGATGTACAAGGGCTTAGCCAATGCAAGTTTGCCTTGAAAGAGTTGGAGGATGTAGCGCCGGAAGTGTTGAAGATGAGACCCTTGATTGAGGCAAGGACACAGCACAAGGCAGACCGGAGCCGGTCCTGAATTTAACAGAATGACTCGCAAGGCTGATAGATCGCTTTCCTCTTGTGCTTGTGTGTGTGGATCGCATGTTCCCAAAGCAATTTACTTCCTAGTTACGTCATCACATATGGAGCATCGAGAACATATGCATGGGCACCCACACACAGGTGTGTTTCTTGAAATTGTCCTTCAGTTTCCAACTGCTATAGGCGTGAATTGACCAGGGTCCTGGCACCATCTTGAGAAGAGTGCTCGGCCGAAGTGAAACACTTGAAGCACCACTGAGATCTGAGTGCAGGAGCACGTGCAGTACATGCTGCTAGCGAGGGGGGCTGAAAACGAGGGAATGGCTGGACCTCCGCCACTTCTCAACCGTTCCCTGCGCATCGACAGCTTCACATGCGGAAATGGTGTTGGGCCAGTGGATGGACGCGGGTTAAAGCAACCCGTTTGAAGAGCCAGTGCGGCTAGGGTCTTATCTTTGGAACTCTATACGCCATCCTAAGTGCCATCCTACTATGTCAATGTCCAGGGGCAGTTGAGGGGTCCAAGTATCTTGAGTCATGAGGGCTCATCCATGTATCTATGTCTATGGCTTCACTCATCGAAATGCTTTATGAAGCTTTATGTTGGTCACTCACCTCATCAGCAAGCGACTTGATGTGATTTCACCCCACCTATCTTGGCACCTCACCTATCTAAATGCTTTGAACGGCTTGATGTTTTTGATTCCTCAACCCCTTGGCTTCGAGACCCACCACTATCCTCTACCTGGGTGACCTGTGGCCCCGCTCAGGTGAAACCCGCAGCAAGAGCCGTAAAGCCTCGTGCGCAAGCCCAGCAAGGACTTGTTTTTGGAGGGACGATGGATATTGGCCCAGCTAGGCTTTGTACTGTAGCCCACTCAACTGGGATTTTCGCAAACCGCCCAACCAGCCCGGCTCATCCAAGGCGACGGAAGCGTTCCCACCGTTTGGATCCGAGTTGCAGAGCCACGGCCAGGAATTCCTGTACTGGGTACCAGAGCAATACCAGACACTCAATGTATATCATGTATACTGTATACATACATGGGGTGGTTTCAGGGGTGAATGTATGGTGAATGTATGTAAAAAGCTCCATACATGGAGTTTGCGGGAATTGGAACATATCAATATATCTTCATTAGAAAGAGGGATGCAGCAACCCTTGTTCCCTTCAACAGAAGGGCCTAAAAGACCAGAGTCTTTGGCTTTGACTCTTTAGTCTCGAGAGTCGTGGCGGCCTATGGTGGGGTCACCTCATGAGCACCCTGCAAACCGTGTTACCAGAATCCTGATGTGTAGATGAAAACGTGCAGCAGGTTAGGGCTTATTGAAAAGTGCAGGTGTGGAGCACTTCGCAATGAAAAGACATGCTTTTCAGCATTGAGAAGTGACATGTATATAGCCACATATTCATGTGCTGGTTGGTTTCTTCAAAGTTGCTTTATATCGGGGAATTGAAATTGTGCTGATCCCTACGGAGGAGGTGAAGACAAAGGCTTTTGCTATTCTCCACAAGGGGCAAATTGCAGTGGTAACTCCCATACCTTTTTTGATTCTTGGGCCAATGGGCCTCTTGCAGTATTTGTTTGGTCAGTTTTTCCGCGACACGTTCAGCGAGGATGGTCAAGGACATTTGCACTTGGACTTATATAGTTGGAGCTATCGTAGAAACCACGCAAAGGTTGTCAAGAGAGAGAGAGAGAGAGACCGAGAGAGCGCGAGAGAGAGGGAGATTGAGATCGACAGAGAGAGAGAGAGAGATTGAGATTGACAGTGAGAGTCAGATACAGTATAGAGATACTGTGTGTAGACCTTGTATTGTACGCGTACCGAGTGATGCCATGTGATGTGCATCTGTTTCCCACCTTCCGTGAGGCCGGGATCGCAGTCGTAGCCGGCGGCGGTCCAACGCCTGGGGGCCCAGTCTGGTGAGTCGGGTCCAAGGCACACAAGGCACACAAAGCCCCAAGCCCCAAGGCACGGGAGGGCTTTTTGTCCCAAGGCACATGGCAGCGCCCAGGTTTCAGGCAGCGCCCAGTGTGCATGTCACATGGTCTGAAGGGGTGGGTGAATAGGCTGGGTATGGGTTCATTAGGTGAAAAGGCGAGCACTGGCATGTCGTTTAGTTTGGGAGCACCTTTGCTTCTGGTAAAGGAAGGGAAGGAGAAGTCCCAGCCTGGACCTTGGCTTAAAATGATGGGCCATGATGCAGAGAAATGATGGGCTGCAGCTTGTTCAATGGACTTGGGTTTTGATGCTTCATGCAGCAAAACGAGCAGAGTACTTTGTTTCCATCATGATATCACACAATATCACACAATTGACCAACGGAGTGCTAGTCGGATTGCTGAGGAAGGCCAGCAACCTCCTCAACAACTGTTCAGTCCACAGTATTTGGTTTAACCAACAGTCCTTCAGTCCACAAGAGCTGATGGTTTCACAGGTGTTGTTTTTGTCGAAAACAAAATACGTTGCAAAAACATTCGTGGTCGAAAACAACATTGCCAGTTTTTGTTTCACAGGTTTCTTTTATTTCTTGGTTCCACAAGAGTGGCTGACGTGTTGTTTACATGTTAATTGGTTCCATAAAATATGTTGCTCACGTGGCTTGAAACCACCAACCAAGAGTCTTCTCTTCTGTACAACTTGCGAAGCTTCTCCTTCCTTTCCACGTCTTGCTCCGAACCCAGCCATGGTTGCCACCGGGGTGGTTGGCCGTCCGCCCCATGCGGCGTTCACTAGGCCCGGCCTGGCTTCCGCGGCATGGTGGCAGACCGTGTGCAGGCGGAACGCAGGTGCACCGTGAGATCGGTCCAGCGCGCGCGGGGCTTGGGATGATGTCTTAGGGAAGTACAGTACACTGTTAGAGAGTGTCCAGTGTCCCAGTAAAGCAGTAACAGGCGGTAAAGGATTATCTAGATATGTTTGAGATGTCAGCCTGCAATCTAACCATCATCATCCACTGGGCCCTAGTTATAACTCATATCCCTAGAGATCCACTGGCACCTTCTCAGGTTCGGTACGACTGGGCTCGATGGCGCCTACATATATAAATAGTTTCCCTGCTCACCGTACCTGAGAAGGTACGACTGGATCCCTAGGGCATGTTGCACATATTGTTCAGGCTGTTCCAAGTTCAATAGGTGCAAACTTGGAGTCTTTCATGTCTCTCATAGTTGCCCCTTTGTGGTTGTTGGCTCGTGAGAGTGATTGAGCCATTGGTGTGGCATGCGTCACCATCTTTGTAAAGCATTTTTCTCCTTCAGTCAACCTTCATGATCCTCATTGCCCAGCTACCACACACAATTTGTCCCGATCACAAGCACATATATATAATTGTAATATTATCTATATACTTACATGTCGGATCTGAAACTGTTGTTGCTTAAGAGTGTACAGAGCAACTGGTACTCTCATCACTCACTGAATTGCTGTGGGGTCTCATCATCCTGTAGCCCTGGTAAGGACCAACATGGTTTGCGAATGGAGATGCATCCCCCTCAGAGAGAGGGTTGGGACCCACCTTGTCTTCCAGGGGTTTCATGCTGATCCGTAGCACCGAACGCCCGCTGCTGATGGACAAGGCGGAAGGATGAGAAGGAGGAGAAGGACAAAGATGAGAAACGCCAGGGGGGCCTGAGGAGCCGAGGTCAACGGTGGGGTGAACTCCCTGAAGGAATGCATGGGAAGTGGGGTGAAAACCACCTGCATGTTTGGTATGAGAAATGGCTGGTCATCCATTTGTGGGCCATTCCATCAGTTTTCATGATTCTTTCAGGGAGCGTAGTGCTGGCTTAGAAAGGAATTGGGGACCATTTGAGATCTGAAAATCCCTCAACTTGAGTCCCTCTAAGGATCCCCCACTTACTGAGTGCGGTGCAGGAAACATGTGAATGTAGGGGTGGGGACTTGTAGTCGATTTTTGGGAGGGGGGGTTGCTGGTTCTGCTTTAGTCACCTCCTTAATCCTCTGAGGATCAGTCGATCCCGGATTGATGGGAATCAGGCAAACCACCGCAGGAAGCCCTAGGCCCAGCTCAGCCGGGGTTCTTCGAAATGACTTGATGGGCGTGGTTTGAGGTCACAAATAGGGACTCCAAAAGAGGTTACGTTGAAAAAGCTGGAGAACACTTTCCCACTTTTGGCTGATGCAATGCACCTGGTTGAGTATTTCATGGTATAACATGGATTTGAGCGGTTTCTTCCCCTGTGGAAACCGGGCGATGGAATCCCAGTGGCCCAACGCCAATCATCCTCCCATCCACCAGGCGAAGAGCCCAAGGCGCGGGTTCTCTCGCTTTGCATGGCATGGCACCTGGTCACCAGCAATTGGGGCATTTTGGCCGTGCCGTTTTGGCCAGTCCCATGGGTAGGAACTACTTGATCACCTGCAGCTCACCTACTCTTGGTGGGTGGAATGGGTAGTGCAGTCCCACTGAAGTCCTACAGGTGGAACAAGGTTGATCTTGATTTTCCGGGCGG